CACCTCCCCCCTCAGCACAATGCCCAGCCCTATCTTGGCTATGGCCTGATGGGTCAGGACGGCCGAGTGTCGCAGCGGGTTACAGATGGCGACGTAGCGATCGAAGGCCATGGCCAGCATGAACCCGGACTCCATGCTACTAACAGCATGAATCAAAAAAATCTGCGCCAGGCAACCGTCAATATGAATGTCCTGGTCCCCGAACCAGAAAATGCAGAGGGTTTGGGGCACGGTGGTGGTGCAGATGACCAGGTCGGCGAAGGCCAGCATGGCGAGGAAAAGGTACATGGGCTCATGGAGGCTCGGCTCAGATTTGATCACAGCCAGGAGGAGGCAGTTCCCCATGACAGACAGGATGTAGACGGAGCAGAAGGGGATGGAGATCCAGACGTGGGCTTCCTCTAGCCCTGGGATGCCGAGGAGGATGAAGGTGGTGGAGTGAGGTGTGGTCCAGTTGGAAGTGGCCATGGTGAGACCGGTGGGGTGTGTTCAGTTCTACGGCATGGCTGCTTCCTGCTCCTGTAATGGATCATTAAACAATCATTCACTGTGTGATGGGAATGGAGCAGTTTGTACATCCATCCCATGCTAATGCTGTGGGGAAAATGTGATGCAAATCACCTATTTTGGGGACCTGCAATGCAGCCATTTCACCCTTGTGAGAGAGGTCTGAGCTGTAAGCACGGGCAAGGCAGCATGTCACAGCGGTGGTTCTTTTTCCCTACCCTCCACTAACTATGTGCACCACAGCCTCTCCATACCAAACCTGCTCAAGAGAGATCCATCCGGCCTCGTCCTGAGCTGGACGAAATGGCCGGGTGCCACTAAAGTTGCCCCTATTGACACCAGCTGGAGATCCAGCCCACGGCAGCCATCAGAGAGATCAGATCTGAACCATTTCTGCTGACTGCGCATTGCCTGCTGACTGGCTGCAGCAGGGGAGGGGTGGGAAAGCAAAGGGGGATTTTCATGAGTGAGATTGGATGGCTCAGCCCTGATGGCCGTGGCACCGTGCTGGCTAACTGGTCCCTTGGAGGGGATCTCTGCAGACAGGCACTGTGGAGCAAACCCACGAGGCTCAGCTGCTGTCCCAGGCCTTAGAGGCAGCCCCTGTTATTCAGAGATGCTGCGTGTTGGTCTGGTGTGGATATAGAATCCCAGAATCCCAGGGCTGGCAGAGTCCTCAGGAGTCATCGAGTCCAGCCCCCTGCCCAAAGCAGGACCAACCCAACTCAATCATCCCAGCCAGGGCTTGGACAAGCTGGGACTTAAATACTTCTAGGGATGGAGATTCCAGCCCCTCCCTTGGAGAACCCAGCCCAGCGCTTCCCCACCCGCCTAGGGAAATAGTTTTTCCTAATATCCAACCTCGATCTCCCCCACTGCAACTTGAGCCCATTGCTCCTTGTTCTGCCATCTGCCCCCACTGAGAACAGCCTCTCTCCAGCCTCTTTGGAACCTCCCTCAAAGTAGTTGAAGGCTGCTCTCATATCCCCCCTCACTTTTCTCTTCTGCAGACTAAACAAGCCCAAATCCCTCAGCCTCTCCTCATAGGTCATGTGCTCCAGGCCCCTCAGCATTTTGGGTGCCCTCCGCTGGATCCTCTGCATTGCATCCACATCCTTTCTGTAATGAGGAGCCAGAACCACTTTTACTTCTAGTTACCGAGCTGGGTCACAGCTAATGGGGGAATATCGGCCCGAGCTGGGAATTCACCTCCAGATATTGCCTGCCTGGTTCTGCGGGGCCTTCTGGTAACGTTACTCCCCCCATCAGCGCTAATCCCACTGGCATTCACAGCTCAGCCTGTGATGAATGAGCCCTGGGCAGAATTCTATCCAGAATGGCTGTGTGCAGCTAATGGCTGTGTGCAGGCAAGAAATCCCACCAAATCCTGTCCTGATTCTCGGGGGATCACGGGATGCAAAGTAGAGCTTGGGACCCGTGTTCAGACAGGATTGCACTGATTTAACATCAGGTTCAATCTAAACTCCTTGGCTGTGTCTAGACTGGCAAGTTTTTCCGCAAAAATAGCTGCTTTTGAGGAAAAACTTGCCAGCTGTCTACACTGGCCGCTTGAATTTCCGCAAGAGCACTGACTTCCTACTGTCTGAAATCAGTGCTTCTTGCGGAAATGCTATGCTGCTCCCTTTCGGACAAAAGTCCCTTTTGCGCAAAGCTTTTGCGCAAAAGGGCCAGTGTAGACAGCTCAGATTTGTTTTGCCCCAAAAAGCCCCGATTGTGAAAATGGTGATCAGGGCTTTTTTTGCACAAAAGCGCGTCTAGATTGGCACGGACGCTTTTCCGCAAAAAGTGCTTTTGTGGAAAAGCGTCCGGGCCAATTTAGACGCTCTTTTGCGGAAATACTTTTAATGGAAAAACTTTCCGTTAAAAGTATTTCCGCAAAATCATGCCAGTCTAGACACAGCCCTTCAGTTCCCCTGGGACAAAAGACTGTGGGTGTTTTGATTTCAGACTCCGGAGGACTAGTTGCGGGTTAGTTGGAGAAGATTAGGGAGAGATCTGAGCTACAGTAAAAGTGTCCACACCAGGGTGTGCGGATGTGTAGTTAAACCAGTTCAGTTTAAATGGTGCAAGTTTGTACAGGGCTACGGCCGAGTGAGCCCTGGATGGCAGGTCTCTGGTTTAAAGCCACCTGCCTGGGCCTGACATCCTGGAGATGCAACTTCAGCCTCCTTCTGAGAGATTTAGGGCTCAGGGTTCTTCCCCTAAGCAGTGCAGTGGGGTTCGGGCAGGAGCGGGTTTGGGTGCCCCTTTTCTGGGGGTCACCAAACAATTTTTGTATCAGAAGGGGGTCACGGTGCAGTGACGCATGAGAAGCCCAGTCCTAGACTGAAGTCTGTTTATTCACTTATTTTAGTTCTTTGCTTTTCTCACACTAATTGTGCAGACTGTCAGTCCCTACGACCTCGATTCTCAAAGCCGGTCTCCAGATTAACCCGTCTCTCTGTGTCATTCTGGTCTGCTAACTCATCCCAGCTGAATTCACGTTGCATGGGGGCATTGTACCTTGATCACATTGTGGGGTACATACTCCCCTTAAATCAGTAAAACAGCAGCATGTAGGGGAGAGAAATTCGCACTGAATTATTTTTCTCCAGCAAGCCCCATTAACATCCCTGTCCCATCTGTGCTGTTAAATTTTTCCCCATTTAAGCACCTTTTCTGGCGACCAGCCTTCCAGAGATGTGGCTGTCTCCCCAGACTCAGCGCCTGCCCCCTCTCAGCTTCCTGGGTCTCAGACAACCTGTGGGATCCCCCCTCACCTCTCTCAGCTCTGTGTTTCCTCTGTGTTATCCCGCAGAGCAGGTGACGCTAATGAGGCCATTTCTGGGCTCCCGAGCCCTGCACTCACCCAACTCCTGAGCCACAGAGAGGGGCAGATGTGGGCAGTGGGCGGTGTCCGGAGCGACTCTGCACTGGGCCAGAGAGCTGGGAGGGGAGGTTTATATCCATCACTGTGCAATCCCAGCAAGGTTTCTACCTCACCTGAGCAGAGAGCATGAGACAGATAAACAAGCCTCTGATTTGCCCAGTGCCTGGGCTTATGGCACCCCGAGGGATGTGCGGAGGGCAATGCACTGGAGACAGTGCGGATACCTCATGATTAAACCAATTAGAAGCGAGGCAGGGTTTGCCGAGCATCGTGAAATGTAGGAGCTAAGTCTAGTGCTGCCTTTTCTTGGAGTCTACCATAATGGCACCTTTTGATAGGTGCTGTGAATCTGAGCATCACTGTGACCCCACAGGTCATGTCACAAGGCCACTCACTGTTTGGGCCAGGCCCACCCAGGAGCATGGCCACTGCATGACCTTGGAGACTTCTCAAGGGGTGGCTGCCTGGCCATGCCGAAGGCTGGGGACTCCAGTGAGTGAGGGGGAGGCAGGGCTGGTACTGGGACCAGGAAGTATATTACGGCGCTTCCAGGTGTCTCTGACCTGGGGCTGGCTCCAAGAGCCAGTCCTGCCACCCTGCCCTAGTGCTGGAGGAATTGGGGGGTATGTCACCTCTGTTGGAAGGTGAAGTGTTACCCGGGTTCTTTCAACCCAAACCTCTCGGTAACTTCCTCTCTGCGAGGTGGTGTCAGGAAATAAATCAGGGGAGACACGGTCGTCCAACCGATAGACGGATGGTACAAACAGGACAACACAAGAGCTCTTTCACTTTAAAGCTAAACGTTACTTAGTCTCAAGCACTTACACACGTCCGCAACAGGTTAATAAAACACCCCACCCTCGATACGTACCGAAGTTGAGTATGGCTCTCGAGTGACACCAAGCAGGCTTCCGATGGTTAGTCTTCCGTCTGCCGGTGGGAACGAAGATGCATCCAGATGTAAAGAGTCCTCAAGAAGTCCTCGAGGCGTCCCTCCAGGTGTTCCCAAAATTGTCCCCCCCTAATTCAAACTTCCCTTCCCTTTATCCATTAGTATTACAATAACATGTCACTCAAACACTTGTTAGGCAAGCACTTTTTAAAGGTTAGGTAAGAGGTTTTTTTCTGATCATCACTTTCACCGGTGTTTTTTTTCTTTTTCAGAGACTTCATGCTCGGGTGCTGACAGATACATGTCTTAGGGCATTTAGACAAACTTCCAGTTTTTCTAAATGTATAGCTCAGTGATTTCATAGACATTTGGGCCTCAGGAAGGACGTGGGGTCAAGCTGCCTTCTCTGTGGCATCCAATCTCTCCCTTCTTCCCCTCCATGACTTGGTCATGCTGTCTAGGTCTAATTTGGGCCTGTTACCTTGGTTGCTAAAGTTCAAGCAATAAGCAATAGTGGTTCAGGCACATTACTGGATTTGCCGAAATCTCCCCATACAGTTCCCCTTCTTAAAGGTCACCTTGCACACAAGGGGGCCTTTACTAAATCGCCGTCATACCTTTCCTGGATGCACCCAAGCAGAGATCCAACCAAAGCTCCAGGCTCTTAGCCGAGACCGAGCAAATGGTCTTCTTGTTGGCATCCCATACTTTGCACACCAGGATAGCCACTGACGAGCGATTCCTTTACCCTACTCTCCCATTTAAGGGGGAGACAACAAGCTCGATATCTTCATTTTTCGGGGGTAAGAGCGATGGTGGCAGTAACCACTGGTTCACCTGTCGGGGGACTTGCAACTGCTGGATTTTGCGCCATGTCCGGCATGTCATTAGGCTGGTAACAAGAACCACTGCTATCTGGAACTCTAAGGTGACTACAATTGGATGTAAGGCCAAATTTAGGATCCCTGTACTGGTGGGGGACTGTCCCAACAATACTTCTCACCAGTGGCGTGCAAGATCCTGTCCAATTCTTGCGAACGCCTGTTTAATTTCATCTGAATTATGATGTACGGTAATCACGACTCTGTGCCCTTCCTGTTTGGCAGTGTGCAACTGGTTCTATAAATCAGGATGTACAAGCAATCTCTGTAAAGCAGTTAGATTCATTCCTGGTGGCAC